TGTGAAAGTATGTGTGCTGAGAGTAAAAGTGTGTATGGGGGGGGAGGACGTGGGGATAGGCAAGCCCATTGCCCACTGGGTGAAGATCAAGCTAGTCTGTAATTAAAAACCTCCAGTAGAGGGGCCTCCCTGGTGATGCAGGGGTTAAAGTCTCAGCAGCGTCAAGCTATCGCCAGCCACTGTGGCATGAGTTCGATCCCAGGCCAGGTTGCTAACCTACATGGCTCAGCAGACCTCTCCTGTCTCACCCGCTATTCCCCTCAGCAGTGTATTTTAGTAGATCCACCTGTTCTGTTCCCCACTCTGCCTCTGGTGAATCCTCTCACTCCCCACACCTCTGGACTAGAACCCAGTTCTTGTATGCATAAATAAATAAAACAAATCTTTAAAAAAAAAACTCTAGCAGCACTTTTCATGAAGATGGTACTAAAGGAAAGTAACCTCTGTACCTCCTAAAGTCAAAGCCAAGAAAGCAGTGATGAAGGCCACACAGCCACAAGAATAAAAAGATCCTCATGTCACCCACCTTCCAGAGCCCCAAGACACAGCAACCAAGAAGGTAACCCAAATATCCTCGGAAGAGCACTCCTAGGAAAAACTAGCTTGACCACTACGCATCATCCTATTCCTCCTGACCACTGAGTCAGCCATGAAGACGACTGAAGACAACAACACACTTGTGTTCATAGTGGATGTCAATGAGCACCGGATAAAATAGGCTGTGAAAAAATTCCATGACAATGAAGTGGTCAAGGTCAACACCCTAATCAGACATGATGGAGAGAAGAAGGCATATGCTTGTCTGGCTCCTGACTATGATGATTTGGATGTTGCCAATAAAATTGGGAGCAGCTGAACTGTGTTTAGCTGGCTAATTCTAAGTACAGTTTATTTCATAATAAAAATTAATTCTCAAGTAGCATTCCATTCTAATTAGCACACAAGTCAAACTCCATTTTAAGAACTGAAGGCTTCATGTAAGCTATCGCCTATCTATCTTGCTGATTTTGTCTCTTCCCACTCTTTGTTTTGCACCATGCACTATCCTTCATCTATAAGTTCTTCAAATATCTCAAACATCCTTGCCTCAGGGTCTTTGCAGCAGCTGTTCCCTTAGCTGTTTCCTCCACCTAGAATGCTAGTTACTTCTGCTTTTTATCACTTACATGACTGGCTGCTTTTTATCACTTACATCTAAGTTCAAAAAGCACCTCCTAAGGAAACTCTGATTGCTTTCAAGTAGCTTTCCCCATCTCTCTAGCACACCCCAAGTTGTTTTCTTTCTGTAATACTCATTCCATCACAAAGGTTTTTTCATTTATTTGTATTGTATTACTCTATTCCCCATACAAACATAAGCTGCATAAAGCAGGAGCTTTGCTTGCTTTATTCAACTCTGAGGTATCCTGCCTTCACCCCCAGCACCTAGAACATTTCCTGTCACATGCTGGATACTCACCAAATATTGGTTGAGTCTCAAGACCTGCCTATGCATAACCATGCAGAAAATTACCCAAGATCCACTGCAAGATTTTTGCTCCTTTGTCACCCCCAACTACAGTGACCATGACCCATAGCCATGCCAACCCAAGTCTACTTCTACAGCCTGTGGAAGGCGAGAGCAAGACCGCTTCCCCTGGAGGAATCTCCAGTCTCCCTGCCACCTCCTCATCAGGAGGAGGCATTAATCTCCTTTTCTCCTACAGAGCTTTCTATTCCCAACCAGATAAAAATTGCTCCAACCAAAAACAGCATTCTTCAAAGACTAGCAGTACATATTACTAAACAATATGTCATTTGCATACTGTGTCTTAGGTTTAAGAAGGGAAAAGAGAGGTCTTTCAGTGTCTATAAGAAAACCTCCTGAGATACAGTAAGAGGAAAGCCCCAGGTCAGATGCAGGTCATTGTTATTCCCATCCAGATGACAAAAAATTCTTCAAGTAGAACTGTGATGATGAGGAAGAGACTCAGCTCTTTCTGCTTCTTACTCACCTCTACTCTTAGCACCTCACTCCCAAAACTACATCCCTTCTTCACCCCATAATATGACCAAATCTGAGACTCAACTGCTGATTCCGTCAGTGCTAGGGAAGCACCAACCTGCTACCCTACCAACGTTAGGGAACTGTGCCTCTGATGCCCTGGTATGGAAGCATAAAAAGTTTCTTACTGAAACACTGTAATAGCCAATACATACTTTCTACTCTCTATACCAACAACTCGCTCCAAATAAAATACATTTTTAACTCATATAGTTTCACTTGGAAATTGCAATGTGTCCTAGTGTCTCCTGGAATGGGGATAGACCAGAGATGAAGTCAATTTCAATTGTGAGGGTAGGGATGGAGCCCTTCCAGGCAAGAAAGAACTTCAGTGAAATATATATTCAGAATGAACAGAACTTTTGGAACACAACCCACTGGAGATAACATAACCTGGATCTGGCCAGATACAGCACACTTAGGTGGCATGGCAAAGATGTGGAGAAAAGAGAAGATGAAAGGCTAAAGCTATAATTGATGAAAGGCTAAAGCTATAAGAAACAAAGGCAGGCAAGGTATGCAGACCATCCAGCCAAGAAGTCCAGCTTGAGGAATCATTAGGAAAAATACTCAAGGGCTATATTAATTGAATATGTACAAGGTAAAGAAAGAAGATATACACAAGGAAGAGTTTGTGAAGAACTTCATGGGACTCACTGCAAGTCACTTAACCCACGGCAGTCTCGTATTTTAAATACGAGATAAATGGGGCTAAAAAGTACTGTCTCATAGAATTGTTGGGAATATTTAATAAAACAAGTGAACATACTTGGGATCATAGTGGATGTCATATAGGTTTTGTGCTACCCTCACCCCCTTGATAAGCATTGCCTAGAATGCATGTTAAACGGATCTCTAACCTGGAATGATATCATAATTTCCACGCGAGTCATGTGGTATTTACATGGTTAGCAGATGATACTTATCAGAGAAACATGGCATTATCTCACTCTCTCCTGTAATCGTCCACATGGTGTGGAACACAGGATTATCTCCAACAGAAGAAAACAACTGCCACTGCATTTTAGGATGAGAAAACCTGAGAATTCCAGTTTTCACAAAAGACAGAATGATTTCTTAATGGCATGAATTTTATTGACATTCTTCTGCCAATATCTTTTCCTTTTTGAGCTTCAAAGATTTTTTATTGATTCGGAGCATAAGAACATATTGACTTTTCCAGCAAATCTACTGAAATATAGTCAAAATGGCAGTCTCATTATAATGTACTATTTTACAAGGCTTGATACAGTCTGGGGCAGTATTGCTCCAGGGAATATTGCTCCAGGGAAACCCCATAGGGCAAGGAATGAAGACCGTCTCTCCTCCCCACAAGAACGATTAAGAACTGCTTATGAAGACAGGGTACCGTTTCTAGGAAAGTTCTCTCGGTCCTTACAAACCCAAGTTGCCATTACTTAGTGTCTCCCACGCAACTAGCTTAATTCAGAGACAACAAACTAAATAACAGTCTAAGGTATCTTCTGCAGATCTTCTTACGAAAAGCAGTAGCAGGCGCCAAGAACAGGAAGCAACATAAAACAATTTACAACTGTAAAATCAGCATCAACCAGAAAATAACCTGGCAGCCTTCCCACATGTTTAACGTCTGCACGTAAACAAAAAGACAGTTTCACGGTCCGCTGCAGAGGTAGTTTGAAACCGGAAAGTTAAATAAAGCCAGCGGAGTAGAGGCGGCCATGGGTGGCCTCAAATCAGCTTGGGCACGGGGCAGTAGGGCGCAGAGGGTGAGGAGCTCTGGCTGGGCTCCAGTTTCTACCTAATCCCAGCGCTGCCGCAGCGCCCATGACAGCACGCGTGACTCCCAACCCCAGCCTCTTTCCCCGTCCCTTCGACTGAGGATCCTAAGGGCGCGGGGGGTGCTTTGGGTTTTAAAATTTCTGGAAATCGCTTTTTAGAAATATACTTTTAAGCCAAAGCAAACAAACAAACCAGCACGCACACAAGACAGGATGTGAGATTGCCTGGGTGCGCCAGAGAAAGTGGCCTCCAAATGACAAGTTTCTTGCTATCTTGGAAACTAACGGCAGCCCAAACTGCAAATTTTCGCACGGCCGCCCTTTGCCCCAACAGCCTCGGTGCTTGCTTTGTTAGGCGGGGAGAAGGGTTTCTCCGACGTTTTCTAAGAAAAACGACGAAACCATCCAGACCCCTCGCCCTCCCGCGCCTCCAGACCCTTTTACAAGAAAACAATAGTGAGGGAGGAGCCCGCGGTCCCCGTGGGCTTCCGCGGCGCGCCAGGCTCCCTGCGGTCAGAGGTGAGGGGGGCGCACACACACACCTCTGGGGTCCCTGTTCCCGCCACTCGCCCTCCCCGCGCTTTCCGGGCTAGAACCCGGGTCCGAGCCGCTCCTTCCGGCGGCCGGTGGCGGTAAACTCAAAGCGGTTGCGCGTGAGCAAGATGTCTGGGCTGAGAAGGTGCGCGCAGGGTCGGCCGGCCCAGGGCGCGCCCCCCGACCTTCGTGAGCCGCGCCCCGAGTAGCAGAGACCGCAGGCATGTGGGCAGCCCAGGGGGGTTCCCATCCCGGGGCGCGAACTCGGTCTCCTCGCACACCCAACCTCCCTCACCCCGCGAAGCAAACCCGCTGCGAAGTCCGCGGGGGAGAGTTACCCGCCAAGGCCGGGCAGTGAAGACCTCCGAGGCGTGAGGGGCCGGGCGGCCGGGGGCCCGCTGCTCTCCGCCCGCCGCCGCCGCTCGCTCCCGCGGCGCTGGCAGCATCCGGCCGCCGAAGCCCGAGGCCGGCGGAAACCCCCGCGCTTTGGAGCGGGTCAGGGGCGACGCGGGCACGATTCCGTCTCCCCGGATCTGGCGGGGGCGCACCGTGGGCGCAGCGCCTCCGGCAGGACTGGGCGCCCGGCAGCCCGCGCCCTGGTCGCCGCGCCCGGCTCGGGATCCCGGGCGACTGCTCCGAGCGCCTCCGGAGCCGCGGGGGCAGATGCACCGTGGCCGCGGCCGACCCCGAGTTCGCAGAGGAAGGTGCAATGCGGAGGGAGAAGAGCAGCTTCCCGGGCTGGGGGCGGCGAGGCAGGAGCGCAGCCGAGCTCCTACCTTTCGGGCCGGGCGGACACCAGCCGCGCGCCCTCGCCGGGCGTCCCGGGCAGGAAAATCACCACGAAGAGCGAGCCAGGGAAAGGCGGCGGGTGGCTTCAGGACAAGGTAGGAGGATCGAGTTCCACAGCCAAGAAGACACTCCCATCCCGTCCTGGAGTGTTTGGAAAACCGCTGGGGCGAAATTGAGGGGCGGCCCGGGTACTCCGTTTCGCTGCCCGGCTAGAGAACAGTGGAAGTAAACACATTTGCTTGGCGCACCAGGGACTTCTGTGACACCAGGCGGGGCAGGAGGTTTGGTTCTCAGCAGAAAGGGAGGGGTAGTCAGAGAACACAAGAATGCCCGGTCTCAGCCCTTCCAAGGACAAATGTATTAGAGCGTCTTATCTTTTGAAGGAGATACTGCTTTAGGGAGAAAAACGAAGGTGGGATGTGCATTTTCATTTTTGGTTAAAGTCCCTCTCGCTTGAGATATTAATAATGTTCTCATACTTTGGACTTTATTAATAATGTCCTCATACTTGGATGGCTCTGAATGCTTTTTAAATTTCAGCGTTGGTAAATAGCTCATTGTCCAGCAACATTCAATTAATAGCTTCAGCCTTTGAATACTGAGCATCATCATCACGTGCTATCCTGTGACCCCAGAGTAAAGAGCTGCAGACTTGGGTGTAATCAAAATCATCAAAGCCGCACTGAAACAAAGTCCTTTATCAACGATGCCTGAATGTTGACGGCCCTAGGAGGCAGCACTTGTTATTTTACTGGTTTTACTGATTAAAAAAAAAAAAATACCAGGTTCAGGAAAGCCCCACCCCTTTCACTTTCTTCAAACTGCCTTTGATTTAATCCACCCAGAATTTGTGATTATGTTTTTTTTAAAAAAGATTTATTTATTTATGCATGCAAGAAGTGGGGTACAGGCCAGAGGTGTGGGAGGGTGAGAGGATTCACCAGCGACAGAGTGGGGAGGGGGGATGGAATTCGTGCTACAGAGGCTGAGGATAGCTTCATAGTACTGTGCTCAACCCCTTGTGCCACCAGGGAGGCCCAGATTTTGTGATTTTAAAGGAGGTCCTGAGACATCACAGTAATTAAAGATATTTAGGGAATTTGTCTATCTGGGCCAGTTTTTCTCCAGGTTACCTTGCTCTTTTAGGTTTTCCTGAGTTCCTCATTATCCTTCTCTTGTTCATGATCTTCAGAAATTCAACCAGTGATACTTCATTTCATCTGGCCTAAGATGTCTGCATCTGCAATCATGTGCTAAGGGCAGACGCCTTCTGTTCTTCGGTGATGTTACTATTTGATCTTTCTTATTCACTAGTAGCCACGAAGGCACTGTTCACCCTAATCTACTTCGAATTCCACCTCCTCCACCAGCCTACTGGGTGATCGTGGGCACATGACTTCACCTGGGTATACTTTTGTTCTTTGTAAAGTGAGATAATGCAGTCTCTTTTCAGGGATTGTAAGGAAGGTTAAAATTGAAGGTGGTGCAAAGAATGCTTGGCACTGTGGCTGTCACAAAATCATCAATAAGACTATTAACCCCCAATCATTGCCCACCAGGAGTCAGCTATCCTGCACACATCCTATCTGGCCCTCTCACCCATTCTGCAAACCAGAATAATGTCATGCTAGAAATGAAGCAACTTTAGGAGATTAAGTAATGTGCCAATGTCAACCACCTGTTTTTGAAATGTGATTAAGTTTTCTTTCCCAAAAAACTCACTATGTAATTAACTGGGCAGATGCTTTTGATCTGTGTAACATTGATTTTTTTTTTTTTTAATGCAGGATACATTGTTATATGGGTACATGATTGCAACTATGTAAAATTTGTGACTCCTCTGGAAGGTAATAAAGAATTAAGTAGAGTGATGCAGTTAGAAGTTTCTAGCCATCTCTGGAATGTGCCTTGGTAATTGTTTTGAGAAAAATGTTTTCGCAATGCAAATATGTTTAATTCAATCTTTGTGCAGACCTATTCCAGTAAGTTGTAATGAGACAGGCCAGTAGGAGTGGGTTCTTGGAACATGCAGCATCTTCCAAAGGCTCTATGGAATTGTATTTAGGCCCTATACCTATAGGTCTGGCCTTGTGTGCTAGGTTTGATTTTTTTGTCATGGATGGTGTCATTTCTTTGAATTAGAATAATATTGTTTCATGGAATATGGCCTCTGCATACCCAGAGGCAGGTAAAAGCCAGGGTCCCCACTCTAACCATTCGGCACCTGTAGACTCAGTTTAGAGTCAGGTTAAAGAAAATAGGTTTATTTCTCACCCCCACTGCAGGGACTGCCTTCCAAATTCTCACATCCTACCTGTCCCCAGCACAAACTCCCCTGGCATTAGTAAGAGTGGCTATTATTTGCAGGAGAAACCTACTCTAAGGGGTCTTCTCTCAGCAGGACAATCACATTCAGACTATACTGGGTGAACCGCAGAACTAGAGATGCACATGAAGTGATAAGGGGCTAGTTTCTCACAATATCCCCTTACAAGTTAATAAAAAGTTTTCTTCACATTTCTCAAGGGTTTCATTAGTAAACACTGAGCTTAGTCAAACTATTTCATTTTACATACAAACTTTCCTCTAGCTCTATGTGCATATCCTGCCAGCCTTATCTTCCTGCTGTCTTGGGGTTTTATCTCCTGTGAGTACATTGTTTAAACATGTACACCTCCAAAAGAATAAGCCAGTATACCCTAACTTAGAGCTATCACTCTGCCTACAGTGTGGCAAAACTAGTACATTAGCAAAAGATAGTTTAGTTCTTTTCAACGAAAGCATAACTTCATTACAAAGCAGGACTATATGTTGACATATGTAAGTAACCACTGTGATGATTTTCCCAGTATTGTGAGTGCAAGAAAAGGTATTCAAGCCTACCAGAAAGATTACTTGTCATTTCATAATAGATATCGTTCCCATATTATACTAGTCTAGGTATTAGTTTTCTAGCACTTAGAGGTCTAAGTAGCCCAGTCTCAGAATTTGCATATACTCTCCTTCCAGGAAGGGGAAGGGTGTTGGGAAGGTAGAATGGGGGATCAGCACACCCTAAGCACTAGAACATGTGAAACATTTATATGGCCGACCACCATAATTACAATAACCAACAGAAAAAAATTGCAGCATATTATTAAAAAGGGTTACTACCCAGAATATAAAAAGGATTTTAATAAAACAGTAAGAAAAACAAACCTATTTTAAAATAGGACACAGGCCATGAACAAGCAACTCACAGAAGAATTACAAATAGCCCACAAACATATGCAAAGACTTTAATACCTTTTTATAATAATACTGTTTAAGAAAGTATAAACAATAATGAGAAAGCAGATTGGCAGAAACTAAAAACATTAATGAGATTGATGAGTTTAGTGGAAGGTGTCAAGGAACTATTCAAAGGAGTGTTCAGTGGTACATTCTTCTTAGAGGGCAAATTGGTGTTTGCTATCATATTTGCAAGGTTGTTTTGGGTTTGAATTTCAAAACCCTAATTAAGGTATTTTAATTTCCCTCCTTAGAAGACAGTTTAGCCTCCAGCCAACAGGGAATGTAAGAAAGAGCAACACAATGCAAATGGTTAGTTTTCTTTTTATAATAACAATCTTAGGAAAAATAAAAAAGAATTTAATAGAAAATAGACAAATGATATGGAAAGGCAACTCTCTGAAGAGAAAACGAAAAGTCTTTTTAAATCATTACTTAAGCAAATATTTAATACTATGTGCAAGGCTTTATTCTAAGCAGTAAAAGAAACAGACAAAAAATCCTGCCCCCAAGGAGCTTACATTCTAGTGAATTTGAAAAGAAGCTTGACTTCACTAATCAAATGTAAAGTTATGTAAGTATTATGTATAATTTTTACTTATTGGCAAAAAGCAATATTGTTAGAACTCAGTGTGGAGACATAGGCACACTCCTGTACTGTTGGTGGGAGTATAAATTGATGAGATTGTTCTGGAGAATATTTTAGCAAAAACAATTACAGTTTTTGACATTTATATATTTTGATGCAGCATTCCAGAATTCTATTTTTTTTTTAAAGAGACATGTTTTATTTATTTATTTGTTTGTTTTGTTTATACATGCACTGGGTACAGTCAGAAGCGCAGGAGGGTGAGAGAATTCACCAGAGCCAGAGTGGGGAGCAGAGCAGGCAGAAGGACCGAAGTACACTGCTGAGGGGAGCAGCGGGCTGCCGGAGAGGTCTGTGCGCCATGTGGGACCCTCCTCTGGTGGCTGGGGAGCAGCCGGGGATCGAACCGGCACTGCAGAGGCTGCGGGCAGCTTCACAACCCAGCGCTCAACCGCTGCGCCACTGGGGAGGCCCCAGAATTCTATTGATAAAACTTCTGTTGCAGATATTCTTGTACAGTTATACAAAGTTGTGTAAAAAATTACCATTTAGATATTGCTTATAATGGAGAGACACTGGAATGGTTTAAATAACCATTAGTAGTGGCTATAAATGCCTGTGTAATCGCTAAAACCATGAGATAGTCCTATATATAATGTCTTAAGAATAATTTCCAAGATATTAAATTTATTTCTTAAAGATGTATTTATTTATGCATATAAGAATGGAGGTACAGGCCATAGGTGTGTGGTGGGGGGAGGTGAGAGGATTCACCAGAGACAGAGTGGGGAACAGAACAGGCAAATCTACTGAAATATACTGCTGAGGGGAGCAACAACGAGTCAGGAGAGGTCTGCTGTGCCATGTGGGTAGCTCCCTGGTCAGGCCAGGGATCAAACTGGTGATCCAGTGGCTGAAGTTAGCTTCATAGGTTGTGTCTTAACCCCTTGAGTCACAAGGGAGGCCCCAAGATATTAATTTTTTTTAAAGATTTATTTATTTATACAAGAACCGGGGTCAGGCCAGATATGTGGGAGGGTGAGAGGATTCACCAGAGACAGAGCAGGGAACAGAACAGGCAGACTGGAAATACACTGCTGAGGGGAGCAGTGGGCAAGACAGGAGAGGTCTGCCACAACATGTGGGATTTTCACCAGCCGGCAGGGATCGAACCGGCGCTGCAGAGGCTGCAGACAGCTTCATAGGGCGGCGCTCAACCGCCTGCACCACCAGGGA